CCCGCTGGGCCGGGGGTTAATAGCCGGGTTTTAGCTTCCGTCTTCTCAGGGGTTCCCAAAGTTTGCTCTCTGCAGGGAGGGCGTTTTCGGGCGTTTTCCACGGCTCTCCGGGGCTTGGGCAGACGGAGGCGAGCCCCGGTGGCTACCTGCTGGGCGGCTCAGTGTGCCCTGTGCCACTGGGCTGGCAGCTCCCGCGCCGCGGGGACGAGCAGGGGACTGACCCCCCCAGCAAAGCTTTGCCCCCCCGTACATCCTTGTTCCAGGCCCACGGTACCGTCGGAGCACCCGTGGCAGCGCGGAGCAGGTAGCGGGTGTCGGAGGAGGATGGTCCTCGCCCCAGGCAGAGCGCACAGCGTGGGCCTGTTACACGTGTGTGGGTGTGTGTTGGAGAATAAATAGCACAGAATCACGGAATGGTTTGGGTGGGAAGGGACCTCAGAGCCCACCCAGTGCCACCCCCTGCCCCGGGCAGGGCCACCTTCCACCAGCCCAGGTTGCCCAAAGCCCCGTCCAGCCCGGCCTTGAACCCTTCCAGGGAGGGGGCAGCCACAGCTTCTCTGGGCAGCCTGTGCCAGGGCCTCACCCCCCTCGCAGGGGAGAATTTCTCCCTCGGCTCTCATCTAAATCTGCCCTCTGTCAGCTAAAAAACTTTATTATCTTAGGGAAGGGCGGATTGCCATGCGCTTGGGGTGGGAGGTGGCGGGGCCTGTGATGCCCTGCCCCAGGCAACCTCCTCCTGGGCTGGCCGGGCCTTTGGGCACGTGGGGGCCCTTGTTCGGCCCGCGGCAGCTCCTGCCGGCGTCACCTGGTCCGTTGGGTTTATGGGCTGCACCAGCAACCGCTTTTTCAGTTCGTGTTTCACAAGGTGACTTAAATTTTCCTCTGGATGAATTACAAACTCCTCTGTCTCTGGTTTGAGGTACAGGACTTCTGGGGGTCGTTTTCAGACCGTCCCTGTGTTACCGGTGTGGTTACCAGCGCCGGCATTCTGAGCTCTCATGAGAACAGAACAGCCCAGAGTCTGTCTGCGTCCTTCCAGACATGCTTTCTGGGGATGGGTTTTCCTTCGTTATAGCTGACCACCAAACTTACTCCTTTGCTAAACGGAATTATTGCTAGATCTAAATCCTGATCTTTTTGGTGTGACAGTATTTGCCTTGTGTACCCAGCCCAGTCTCCCTGCAGTTCTGTGCTAGTGTTTGTAAGGGGGTGAAGAAATAACTGCTTCAATAGCTGAGAAATAAAAAATGATAAAACCATAACAATAAAATACATAAAATGAAATAAAAAGAAAATAGAAAATGAAAAAGAAATAAAAGACATTAAAAAGGAAATAACCAAGAGAATGTTCTCAGCCACAGTTTTGGAAAGAGTGTTTGTCAATATAATGTTTTGTCTTTGTGAGGAGAATCTTGCTTAGAGCTTCTGCTCAGACTCTCATACTTTCCTTGTCACACTCATTTCCCTTGTTCATGCTGTCTCTGTCAGGGAGCGTGGTCCAAAGTTCCTCGTGTCCCTCAAAAGCTTGACTTGCCTCTTTTTTTTCGCAGAGAGAAGAAGATTTCCCGCAGCAGTGCCCTGAAGGTGCTGGACCACGCCATGATTGGACCCGAGGGCACGGACAACTGTCACAAGTTCGTTGACATTCTTGGTCTGAGGACCATCTTTCCTCTCTTCATGAAATCACCCAAAAAGATAAAGAAAGTTGGCACAACTGAAAAGGAACACGAAGGTAGGTGTGCTTCCAGCTCCTGCTGTGGCGGGCGGTGACTGGGAGGAAGGTGTCGGAGAGGGGCCTGGAGCTGGGGGGGCGGCACCTCGGCACTGCCCGGGGCTCCTGGGGCAGCTGCCCGCCCCGCTGCTGCCTCGCCTTGCCCCCCTTGTTTCGGTATCGGCACTGCCTGGCGATTCCATTTCATGTGCTGTTAATAAGTTATTTTACTCCTGTAGGGTCTCTTGTTTGAAGTTCTGACTCTTTGATGCAAAACTCTTTTGAAAAGAGTAATGAGGCAACTACAAATGTCACCTCAAAAGCAGTGTTTTCATGGCTCTGAGCACTGGAGTGTGACTCGACGAACATCAGGCATTGCAGAAATAAACTGCGTGCTCTTGAGGGTGCCTTTTTTTGTTGTTGTTGTTTTTCCTATTTTTTTCCTCTTGGAAAACTGCTTTAACAGAAATCTGCTGTGGAGTATTACTGCAGGACCTTCTTCTGGCCTGAACCTAGGGTCAGTCCCTCCTGCTTCTGATAGCATTACCTTTTCCATTTTGTTGATAATTGACTATGTCTTGGAAGAAACTTTAAATACTGCCAGTGATGCTTGAGGTTTTGTGCCAGTCCATTACCTCAGTTCTATAGAGGGGGAATATTGTCGAAAGCTGAGGCGGTGTGAGCAGGTCCCAGGCTGGCCTAGTACCCGTCCTTAACTCGTCTGGCAAACCAAGGGAAAGGGGAAGGAAACGCAGCAAAACGGGAGCTCTGAACCCATACCCGGCCTTGGTCCTGTCCTGGCAGCTGGGTGCAACGGGGCGGCCCCTCCCTCTGCCCGTTCCCGGGGTCGGGGCGGTGAGAAAGAGGAGGGGCAGATTCAGCAAGCGGCTGTTTTCTTCTTGAAAACTCTGCAGGTGGTGAGCGGGTAAGGAGGCTTGTGTGGAGCTCCAGCGCTCCAAGGTGCCTTTTGGAGGCAGGGGCTGTGCTGGGCCGGGCTGTGCTGGGCCGGGCTGTGCTGGGCCGGGCTGCTCCCACCCGAGCCCAGCGTGGGGTGACACACACCCCAGCTGCCGTGTCCGTCTCGTATAGGTAACGGTGAGGAAGAAATGCTGCCGTGTGTTCTGGGGTTTGCACAATGAAATTGCAGAGCTGTGCTCAAACAGTGGACTTAGGGGGTGTTTTGAAATCTTCATTTGCAGTATGAAAGTAAGGTTGTTTAATTCTTCCTACGGAGAGAAAGCTCGAGCTGGAATATGAGCTGCTGCGTAGAGATCTGGGTCTGCGGCTCATGTCATTGCCTTAATTTTTCAGTTTGGAAAAGTGAGTTAATCTCTGTCTGATCTGCTTGGTTTTGAGACTGCAGATGACATCTGTGTACAACCCTGGCTACTGTGAGGATTAGGTACCAGTCCGGGAAGCCCTGACGGGGTCGCTTCCTAACTACCTGCGTGATAGGAAGAAAAGCAAATCTGCCCTCAGGAGAATGGAGTGATCTGTGCAAACAGTCTTGTATCGTGCCTCCATCTCATTAGTATTCAGAAGAAATGGAGAACATTAAGATGAGTCCAGAAATCAGTTTTATTAAAATAAACTCTCCCTAAAACACTGTGGTAGTAAGTCCAATTTTCTTTGTCTTGCATCACTGGGCAGGTGAGTTACTGAATTTCTAAGGATGGGAGTTAATTGAGATGTTTAACGGTGTTCCCCTGGAGCCTGTCACAGCCATTGTCCTGACACGCGTACAAGCAGCACAGTATATGTTTTTACTTTGCCAAATGTTGCGTGAGCGATGCGGCGATTGCTGTGTGCTCGGGGCACGGCTGGCCGAGGGGCAGCTCCTGCGGGGCGAGCGGGAGCGCTGCAGGGACTCCCTGGGGCGGCTGCTCGGGCAGGGAGCGCCGCAAGCCCGGCCCGACCCTCTGTGCTGAGCTGGGAACTCGCTCTGTCTGCACATCTCCTTGCTTGTTTATCGGAAGGGATGCGAGGATTCAGCCTCTCGTTGTCATCTCTTCTTGTAAAAACTTTATCCTGAGTTCAAACTGGTTTTAAAAAAAAAAATAAAAATTAGAATGATTCTCTTCTGCTGGGAGAGCTGCTGTGTGTGTCAGGTGGAGGGACACGTTCCTGTAAAGGGTTACCAGGGGTGGCTTTGCGGCAGAGGCGTCAGTATTTATTGAAAAGCAGCGCTGAGGGGCTGCGCTGTGCAGTGCCGCTGAGACCGCGTGCTGCAACATGGGCAATTCTCAGTGGGCTGTTAACCCTGGAGCCTAATTGCAGGCTTGAAGGGCAGCCCTGCTAAAATGCTTCCGCACCAGGTGAGGTACCAAAGGGCTCTGCCAGAACGTTTGTGTGCCGAGGCTCTGCCCGCTCCGCCAGCGCCCTGCGGCCAGTCCCGGGCGTCCCTTCGCCCGCGGGGATGTCACAGCCGGTGCTGAGACGCTTCTCGGGACGCATCGGGGCTCCATCTTCAGAGCACAGTCTCGTGTGTGTCTGATGGTCATAGGAGAATACGCCCTTGTCTTTAGTTTACAGCAGTGTTGCTCCCTGCAGAAGAGGTAGTCTATAAAATAATGTTTATTTTATTGTCCTGAAGGCGGGTTCTGAACGTGACAATATAATAAACACCCTGGTGAAAAAAACACCTCAGTGTGACTTAGCAAGCTTTTATTTATTACAGAAATTTATAATCCAAATTAAATTTGATAAAAATAACTTTTCTGTAATGTATTTCTCTCTGTTTTTAAAAGCTAGCATAAAGGTGGCAGTGCTGGTTAGCTACATTTTAAATACTGTCAGTGTTTGAAAATTATTTTACGCTAGGGAGCCTGTGAACAATTTAAATCCAAACTGCACATATTTGTGCTTTATGTACACTATGTAATTAGGAAAAAAGAAAGGGAAAATTTCTTAACCATCTTCACGGGTGATCTGAGCCTGAAGATTGGGCTGGTGGTGTCTGACTGACTACACACCGTCTACACTTGTATTTTGCCTGACGTTGTACAGATCGTGATATACTTCTGCGGGTATTAGGTTTGGGGGAAAAATTGAAGCAATTTCCGTTTTTCTGAGGCAGTGAAGCAACTCAAGCCAGATGTATTTTGCAGTTGAAGACAGGAACGGCTTAGAGTTCTCCTGTGCCTGTGGGGTCAGAGTACCGGCGAGTGCCCAGCTCCAGTAGGAGCAGCAGCCCCGGGGTGATGCAGCGTGGCCCGGCCCTGGCTTTTGTGGGCAGGTGACACGCGGCGGCGCAGCACAGCCTGCCTGCGGCGGGCCCTGGTGAAGGGCGAGGGCCCGGTCCTGGAGAAATGTGCTGTGGGCCCGGCCGGGGGCTG